CATCAAACAAGTTCTGTTTTGATGAGCTAGCGTTTCTGTTTAGTTTCGCGTCTCAGCCCAACTCTCTTATATCGAACCATCACCTTTCTTGGAATGAGTTTCTTTTTTGTCCATTACTGTTCTACTTCTTTGATTTCTAGTTTAAACTCCAGTTTGAGGTTCTTCCTTGGTTTCTAGTTTATGTAAAGAGATTATATATCTCTATCTCTAACTGACCTCTCTCATTTTCAGCCTCTTCCTCTTGGACCCTTTCTGTCACCATTTAAGCATGCCTAGTCTCCTTATCTTAAAATTTTTTAAATGGAGGGACAAATGGAAGAGAGACTGATAAACAGATGACAAGATGACAAGAAAAGCAATCTTAGAATCCCATATTCCCTTCTAGCTGTTGTCCTGTTCTCTTTCGTCAAAATTTGTTCACATGCTTTACTTACCCACATGTCCCTCACTTCTTAGTCTACTCCAGTTTGGCTTGCCCCCGCAACCGATTGACTGACATAGTTCTTGCCAAGGTCACAACTGACTTTAATTTTAGATGCTTTTTATTTCTCACCTTACTTGACTACCTTCCTACTAGCGTTGAACTAGAAATTACTTCTCAACTTGGCTTCTGTGACACCACACTCCCCTGACTTTCCTTCTTTCTCTCGCTGATTTTTGCAGGCTTTTCCTCCTCTACCTGATAATTCAATCCTAGATTCCTATGTACTGATGATTCTCAAATACATGGCCAGCACACATCTCTCCTGGGTTCCAGGCCCAAACGTGCCGGTGGTGTATTTCCACGTGACTCTCTCATAGGCTCCTCGTGCTCGACATTTCCAGCACTGAATCAATCTTCCCTCACCCAAATTTGCTTCTCTTTCGGTATATCACTTTTATACATTACAAATTCTGCCCTCATTTGCTCTGGGAAATGTATTTCTATTAAATTTTCAGGAATTTGTTTTTTTATGTATGATTGAAGTTTCTCATGGTATAATACTCATGGTATAATACTCATCTTGCTGTTTATTTGTTAATTTAATAATTACTCAAATACTTATTGAGTATCTGCTACTTACTAGACCCTAGAAATATAGTGGCAACAAAGTCCTTGCCCTGGTGAGCCTGTATTCTACAGATGTTCGTCAACTATTCATAGAATTATTTAATGATGAATTATTTATTTCATTATGCATTATGTCTAGATTATAGTTTGCAAAACTGGATTGTATACAAGTTAAAATTGATTTATTTTAAAAACCTTAAAAATCTTTTATATGATAATTAACATTTTACAAATTTGATACTTTTATAGATATGCTCTTTTCTCAGCCATAGAATTTGATAATCTTGCGGTTTTGAGAATAAAATAAGACATTTCTAAATATCTGCAGGCTAGTATATGTCCTTCATAGGATTTTTTTGAGAGTACAGCTTGGCAAACATTTGTTGAGTTCTTACTGTGAGTCAGACAACCTGCTTGGTATTAGATATATGATTCTAACATTAAAGAC